CCCGGAGGGGGGGTCCTATGAAAATTTCCCAGCGTAAAAAAAAAAACCTTACACTCTCCGAATAGATCATCGTGAACAATCCTACGCAATGTGGATTATAACACGAATCGTGACAACATTGACCAAGATCCTGTGCTCCTCAAATCAATTAACAATCATACCCAACAATATACACAACATATACTCAATCATTCTCATTTTCACCGTTCAATCACGAACAAATATACATATACACAATATGTCAGAAAAATAACCGAATTTTTTAAATAAAAAGAAAAAAATTAGTTATTTTGCCTAAATTAATTTTTTTTATTTAAAATACATCCCTTCCGCATCAAAACACCGCTAGGCACGCTCAAGCACCGCGCGAGGGAAAGTGTAGAGCAAAAAGGCCGGTTTGCAAACATCCAACATGGCGGAGGAAGGGTCGCCACAAGCGCGTGGAGAGCAGCCCTTAAGGACAAAACTTAAGGGTAAAGCGGAGGCACGCGGCAACAAGCAAGATGGCGGAGACATGGCGCGCTTTTCAAATGGCCAGCGGAGAGGTTGAAGCAAGAAGACAGTGAGGAGGAGAAGAGGAAGAGGCGAGGCGACACGGAACAGAGTAAAAGGAAGGAATAAATAAATAAATAAATGAAGTGAACGAGACGGACTAATAGATTAATAAATATTAAATATTAAATTAATTAATTAATTAATATATAGTGAAGTGGTTAATAGATTAATAAATGAATAATAAATAATAAATAATTAATAGATATTCATTTAATTCGGTGTAGTGTTGGGAAAGTGTTGTGGAACGGCAGTGAAGTGCTATGAGTGCCATGAGTACAGGAAAATACACGGAACCACGTGCGCAGGTGCAGAAAAAGTAGTGCAATGCGGGAAAATGGCGGAAAAGCGGCGGAAGAGCAGTGGAAAGCGCTCCAGCACCTTGAGAAACTCCGAAAATCACAACGATGGTGAAGCAAAGGGGCCGGTTCGAGGATGTCCAGTATGGCGGAGGAAGAGACGCTGCAAACGCTTGGAGGGCGGCCCTAAATGGTGAAGCGAAGGGATGCGGCAGCAAGCAAGATGGCGGAGACATGGCGCGCTCTTCAAACGGCAAGAGGAGGAGAAGAAGCGAGAAGACAACGAGGGTGAGAAGAGGAAGAGCCGGAACGGAAGAGACGGGGAAACATAGACACGACCGATCGAACGACTCAAACCTGCAAGGCAGGAAACCGGTGTCAGCCTGGTCATAGCATCATTAGCGGGCGACAATGGGGACCGAGTGGGACCGGCAGGAGAGAGGAAGAAAGAAACTGTATCAACGAGAAAACATAAGACCCGAAAGTTTATTTTGCATATGCCCGGTTGGTCGAGGTAGCAGATCCGCAGCCCTGTTCGGCAGGGTCGGACCGATCAAACGACTCAAACCTGCAAGGCAGGAAACCGGTGTCAGCCTGGTCATAGCATCATTAGCGGGCGACAATGGGGACCGAGTGGGACCGGCAGGAGAGAGGAAGAAAGAAACTGTATCAACGAGAAAACATAAGACCCGAAAGTTTATTTTGCATATGCCCGGTTGGTCGAGGTAGCAGATCCGCAGCCCTGTTCGGCAGGGTCGGATTAAAAATACATCTGTCTAAAGTGACAAAAGCACCTTGTAGTGAAGTTCGTTAATGGGTGCTGTACTCGTAAACACTTCATTTTTGCAATATTCGAACGTTAAAGTCGAATATACGAAAATCGAC